AGACAGAGGAGCTGTAAGGGAGACAGAGGAGCTGTAAGGGAGACAGAAGGCAGAGCCACAGCTGGAGCAGCCACCAGGAAATGATGGACAGGCAGTTTCACTGCTCACCCAGCCAGAAGTGGTGCTGAGAGAGCGCTGAGGGGGTGGCAGGAGAAGGGAGAGGTTTAGTGGGAAAGACCCTGTGAGAAGCTGCAGCATCTCAGGGTGTTCTAGAGGGGACTCCTGTCCAGGTCACAGTGAGCAGAGCAGGGAGGACAAGGCAGGAAGGGCACCAGGAGCCAGAGCTGCCCACGCCTCCTGAGTTGCTCTGTTTGTACCATACCTCTCAGGAGCTTTTGTTCTTTTGCTTTGCTCTTCCTCTATACTGGCTTTGCTTTGGTCTTTTTCCTCTTCTCCCAGCTCCTGGGCCTGCAGGTAAAAGCAAACAGGGTGGAGTTTGTGGCTCCTTCACCATTGAAGACCTTACAGGGGGTTCTGCTGAAGGTCCATGGAATCAGCACTGAGCCCAGGGACCACACAGCGTCCACAGGCTGTTCCAGAATGTGGGATGTGCCAGCCTGCTCTCCTGGGGGTAAGCAAGGGGGTCCAAACATCACAGGAATGCCTTGCAGGAATGCTTCCAGAAGCACAAGAGGCCTGGGAGCTCAGCTGTCTCAGCACAGAAGATGAACTCCCTGCCAGCACTAAGCACTGGGGACACAGGTTTGGCTTTTACCTGAAGGTCATTTCACATTCCCAAGTAACACTAAACTTCCTGAAAAATGTAGGACAAAAATCTCCTAAAAGAGAAATGGCACACACAAACTAACGTGGTGGGGCCATAAAACAAACTGATGCATTGGCTGGGACCAGAATCCCATCAGGGCTCAGTCCTGCCTCCCATCCTGGTTCTAGGGCAGCCTGTGTTGGGCAGCACACACACACACACACAGAGAGTCACCAATCCAGGGATTTCTGCCTCTAGGACACATCAGGGTGGGCACTGCCCCCTGAGCAGCACACTGAGCATTCAGTTGGCTTATTTATGACACAGGAAATACTTGAAATGTGAATAGCCAACATTTGAATGTGAAATACTATCATCTGCTCCTTTCCCCACCCGCCAGCTCCCAGATCCCTCTGTCCCCACAGCACAGGGAAGGGGAAGGACTTCCCTCCTCACCTGCCAGAGTGAGAGTTTGGTCCCCAAAAACACATCCCATTCATAAATTCTTGGTGACCACAGACCCAGCAGGTGAGCCCAGCCCCTCCTGTGCGTGGAGCAGGGCCAAAACAACACAGAATTAAAACAGCAGTAATTTATGCAAATGTTCAGTGGAGCAAACAGCAGAAGGATTCCCTGCAAGTGCTGTCACCTTCCATCACATCAGCCTGGGCAGAGCTCTCCAGCAGCCCCCCACCCCCAGCCTCCCTCCTGCCCCGCTGTAACTAATGACTCCAATTCCCGGGAACGAGGAGCTCAGCAAATGTTTCCTCGCTCAAAATGGGCTCTGTCACCACTGCCTGGGAACGGGAAGGAGCCAGACAAATGGGGAAGGATAACAGTCACAGGGCACCTCTGCTGAGCCCAGGCATGGGCCTTCTGCTGCCCCTCTACCCAACAGGGCAGTCCCTCTCCAGGAATCACGGGCTGCAGGAATCTCTGGACACATCTGGAAGATGAAGACAGCACTTGTCTGCAGGAAACAAGGGCAGATTTTAAGCCCTGTCTGTGGAATTGTCAGATCCTTGCCCCTCCTTGTTGCCCCAGGATCCCCAGCAGTGCCAGTACCTCAGTTTTCTGCCCAGCTGCATCCCCAGAGGACACCTCACACGCTCAAGACACAAAATCAGTTGTGTGAACAACAGGAATGACAGACCCTGGGCCATCTCATCCCTCTGCACGGCACAGATCCCAAGGGACTCAGCAGGAGCATCTCACATCAGCTCGGATCATGCCTGCATCCCACTCCTCACCCCATCCCCCTGGGCACAGCAAGGTGCCAGCACTGAGCACTTCAGACACACCTTTGCCTTTGTCCTGAAGTTTGGGCACTGCCCAGGCTCCCCAGGGCAGTGGGCACAGCCCCAAGGCTGCCAGAGCTCAGGGAATGTTTGGACAATGCTCTCAGGCACAGGGTGGGATTGCAGGGCTGGGTTGTCCTGTTCAAGGCCAGGGGTTGGACTTGGTGTGACCCCTGTGGGTCCCTTGTAACTCAGGATATTCTACATTCCATGATCTGCATCTTGCACTCTCAGTCTCTGGTAGGGGAAGGGTGGAAGGAGCAGCCTTCCCTCTGCCAGCAGAGCAGCCAGGTCTGGCAGGACACATCCCACAGAGCCTCTGCAGCCACCACAGCTCCTGCCAGACACACACCAACCAAACCCCTGCAATTCTGCGCTCGTGGAGCTTCCAGAGGTGTCATTTTCTAACAACAGAACATTTTGCCAGTACATTCAAAGCAAGGCAGGCTCCTTACACATGGAAGCAGGCACATTCCTACAACCAGAGTCATTCCAGCCGAGCCTCTGTGTAGAGACACAAAAGAGCAGCTGCAGTTCTGCAGGGAGCACCATTTCACACCCAGCCCTCCCCAAACAGGGCTGTAATAAACTCCAACGTGGCTGCTCCAGCAAGCATTTGCATGCACAGTGCCTGCACTGCAGGGAGGGAGAGGGGGAACACAGCAGGCATATGTTTTGTTTTCCCTTCACATCTGATTATGCTCATTATTAGGCACAAGAGGACAGGTGTATCCTCCAGACACAACCTCACAAACCGGATTGCTCCTCTCTGCTGGACAGGTGGGGAGTTTGCCACTCAGGGTCTCTCCTCCAGAGCAGCTGATCACTCACAATCAGCACAAGGCTGAGTAACCCCAGCTGGATCCTGCCCTCCACGGCGCTCCCAGCCAGCACTGCGCGCCGGGATGGGGCGGGAGAGCTCCAGAGGAACGTGGGGCTCAGGAAACAACGTGCTGGGAAGACAAGGGTAAACCCGAGATGCACAGCAACCTTCAGTCAGAACTGCCCAGCCACTGCTGCATCCCAGGCTAACAGGGCACAGGAGCACAGACATATGCTCACACAGTGCCACAGACTCACTCAAAGGAGCCCATTTTCCCTCCACATGAAAGCAGGCAAGACAAACCAAATGCTTAAAAATAAGCTTCCCTCTACCAAAATCTGCCAGAGGGAGTTAACCTCCTTTTCTTCCCATTGATTCTATCGTGTTTCTGCTACACAAATCCTTCCTATCTGCTTAAGTGAAAGAAAAGGACAAATATAGCCACAAAAGAAGAAAGTAAAATAGGCTCTACTTCCATCTTTCCCCAGGAAAGCCATTTATTGGCACTTGTATTGGGGCAGGGAAAGCACACAAGGGGAGCCTGCACGTGTGCACCCCTGAAGCCATCCCCTACTCAAGGTTCATGTTCTTTATGTAGCTCCGTGCACCTCATCTCTGCAGCAAAAACAGAGCCCTGGTAGAGCTGCTCTGATCCCTGACACCTCACTGTTCACCTCTGCAGAGCCTTCACACTGACAGCATCACACTGGTGGTGCATCTCACCCCAGCATTTCACCTACCTGTTCACAGATCCCCCCTGATCACACACACTGAGCTCACCTTGCACACGGGGCTGTCTAAGACAGGAGACAGAGCCCCTGCATCCAGTACTTCCTCAGGAAGCTGGCTCTGGAAGCCCAGCACCTAAAGAAGAAAGCAGAAAAGGATCAGTGTCTGATGAGAACACACAGGGTGAACACACCAGAGATCCGAGACCAAAATCCTGCCATGGCTTGGAATCCCCACTCCCCACCCCACTGACAGCAGCTCAGCAGCAGTTCCCTTCACTGGGTCCCTAAGGAAACCCTCCCTGGGGGGTCCAGGGACATCAGTGCCACACAGGGAGGACACTGTGGGACCCAGAGCTCTGCCACACTCCCAGTGCACCCTTCCACTTTGGCCACAGCAGGCAGGGGTGACACGTGGCACATCCAAAGGGTACACGTCTTTCCCCTGCCTCCACTGCTCCCCTTTATGACACTACTCCACATTTCCTCTCATTTTTTTCCTAAAAGTCAGCTCCCACAGGCTGTTCATCCTCCAAGACAATCCTCCCTCCTGGCAGAGTCTGTGGGGGTCCTTGCACTTGGCTGCACAGGGCAGTGTGTGCACACACGTGCCCGTGGGCAAGCACTACACAAGGCAGAGCCACTTGCCAACACAGGCTTGTACCAACCCCAATAAATAATGATATTCTCAGCCATTTGCTGGCCATGCTGCCTCTGCTCCCACTGGCAGATGGCAATGGCAGCTTCCTGTGGAGATGAAGAGATGCTGATGGGCATCTCCCCCCATCTCAGGGCTTCTCTCCTGCCTGCCCTCCCACAGGCACCCTCCAGAGCCAGGTCTCCCAGCCACACACACCCCCCTTAGCAGAAGCTGCCGAGTCCCTTAAAGCACAATTTTTACCCTGCTTATTATTTTCCTTTTTGCAATTATCTGAGCTCTACATGACCTACTTTTCCAGGGATACTGCCTCACCCACAGACCCAATCTGCGAGGTGCAGGGTGGCACTGCTGGCCCGTGCCACAGCTGTGAGGGCACTGCAAGGGGCAGGCACAGCACTCCCTGGCTGCACCATCCCAGAGGAACCTGAAGCCCCACACCCAAGGGACAAGGAGTTTTTGGTGACTCACCACAGGCTGAGCCAGTTCCCTGTTGGAGCCGTTGGAGACATGCAGGTCCTCCCCGCTGATCTCTGATTCCTTTGAATGCTGAGAGGAGAATGCACGTTACAGCCTGGACATGTCTTACCCCTGCAGCCTCACCTGGGCATTCCCAACACGACAACTGGCACTGGGAACAAAAATCTGTGCCCTCTATAACACAAGGAAACACAAGGTGACTGAACCAGACACTAAGGGTGTGACCCACAAGACAAGCACAAAACACCACAGGTAGGGGCAGGAGATGGGACTGGGGAGGGCAGAGAAGTGCTCTTCAAACACCCCTGATAAAAGGCACTTGCTTCCCTCTCCATCTGCAAGGATGTCTGCAGCTCTTAGAGCTCCCAGCCCACTACCAGAACAGTACCATGGTCTCTTAAAAGTACTTTAAAAGCCCATCTTGCTGTGCCTAAGTGCAGTGAGGGCTGCTACGTTCCCACCATCATGAAGCCACTGTTCAATGGGAACACCCCGTGGCCCTGCTGACTTCAGCAGGACAACTCAGGTGCAGAAGCACACAGGGAAGGGTTTGGAAAAGTAATGCTTTCAGCTCTGAGCTCTTCAGGACAGAGCATGTTTTCCAGGCTCAGCTTTGTGGTTTATCATTTCTTGCAGACATTACGCATCAATGAACCAGAGAAATCATCAAAATCAGCAGGAAGGCAGCCAGATTGGAAAGAGATCATTCATCAGAGCCCATACCCTAACTCAGATCCTATTCTGGAGCATGACCACGAGCAGACAGCGCCTGTCTGGCAGCCCAGCTGCGGGGCCAGGCCACAGTGACACTCCTGTCAGGCTGCAAACCCAGCCCCCCCGGCTCTGCAGTGGCTGTGGCCAGTTCTCCTCCCAGAGAGGGCAGGCTGGGAGGTTCTGTGCTCAGAGGAGAGCTCCAGAGCCAGCCCCAGGGCTCCATCCTTCCCGCTCCGACCTCGCAGCTCCCGTCGCATCTCACGGCTGGCACTCGCTTCACACCCCTGCCCCAGCTTCACACCCCTGCCCCAGCGCTGCACAAGCTGAGAGAAAACAACAGAAGGAGGGAAACAAAGCAGCACGGACAGCTGGGCCCGGCAGGAGCTCCATCCTCAAACCTGCTCGCTCAGGACAGACGGCAGCGCCGGAAGCTGAGATTGTTTCTCCTCCAAGACTCAAAACGCGCCTCGCAGTTGAGGGCTTTGCCTGTCACTGGCTTTGGGCAGCATTTGGTGCGTGCAGGAGAGAATGATTGCCTAGCTCGATCCTGAAACACCAGTCTGGAAATTCAGAGCACTTTGTGCCCCCCCAGGAACACCCTGCTGACCAGGAAAGCACTGGCACTGGCTCCACAGAAAACGAGGCAGTGCCCCAAGGGCTTTCCTGAGTCAGGGCCTGACGAGACACAGAAGAGCCAACACCAACCCCAAACCACGCAGGCAGGTCTCTTACTTCACCAGCATCCAGCCTGCTCTCTGTTTTTGGATCAGCTGCTGCTTCTTCCCTCACTTCATCCACCATGTTTTCTCCACAGGACACGGTGTCAGCAGTGGCAGCCAGGCTCCCCAGCTGATCTGCCTCGGCACCTTCCGCAGCTGCAGGAGCAGCTCCAGGCTGTCCAGGACCACTGGGCACATCCACATCCATCCCTGCTGTGCTCCTTTCCCCCACAGACTGGGGCAGCTCCTCAGCTGCAGGGACGTCACCTTCCACCTCAACATCATCTTTGTCCAGTACCTCATCCCCAGCAAGTTCCCCACCAGAGTCCTCCTTGTTCTGGCCAGACAGGCTGCTGTCAGCATCTCCAGGAAGGATTTGAACTGGAGATGGAGGGCACGCAGCATCAGAATCCAAGGAAGACTCTTGCACTTCTTCGGCATGTCTTGATTTTAAAGATTCCTTCTAGGCAGCAAGTCAAACACAATTATAGCCACAACATTCTCTCTGGGGGGACGCAGGGGTCAGGAATAGCACAGGCTCTCCTACAGCAAGCAGCAAAAAAAAAAAAAAATCACAAAGCTTTGGGTGACTTTGAGACCTGTTTGACTTCTTTTCACACAGTCCCATTCCAAAACAAGGGACTTCATTGAGATAATCTCGTTCATTTTTTGGGCTCTCACTTAGGTTTTTTTTATCTGTTGTTTTTTTATTCACAGGGTCTCAGTGGATAAGAGTGGGCAGCACCCAATGTGCTCCACAGCAGATCCATTTATGCTTCCACATCAGATCTGTTCAATAAGAGATGGGAATTTGTTAGAGACCATCACTGGTCATTCTACTTCTGTCTCATGTTTTAAGCAGAGAACAGTAGGCAGGATCATCATCCCACCTTCCAGCAGTACAGACTTGAAGGTGGGCACTGATTGAAGCTCAGAATAAGCCTGTGACTAACTGAGAGATGGCAGAACCCACCAGTCTGGGGGAAAAAGGCAACCCCAAATTAAAGCCCAGTCACCCAAAGGCTCCACTGCCTCTCCCAGCAGCGGGGACGCCACAGCTCCCACTGTGGAGAGTGGAATAGGCAGGAAGGAGCAGGAGAAGGTTCCCTCATCAGCATGCAAACAGCCCTGCTGCACGTCCCACTCTCTCACTGTTTTATTAATGCCGTGGTGTCTCGTCAAACATCCCCTCGCCCCGCGCACGGCGCGTTCCGGACACCCAGCGCATATTTTAACGGGGTATTTTTATCCCAGTGCCGCTGGAACGCTCCAGGCCTGGAGCTGGGGCACGTTCCCTGTGTCTGAGAGACCTTCTGGGGGCCGAGGGAGCCATCCATCACGGCTGGAGAGGCCAGGGAAACCCAACCACCGGGTCCTTCCCAAAAACCTGCAGTTCTGAGCCTCACCCGTAACTCCCCGTGCTGAGTGACAGCTCGTGGCCCCTGTGCAGAGCGGTGCCCGCCTGGCAGAGCTCCCCAGAGTCACCAAGCAGCCACTGCAGGCTCTGGGAAGGCCTCGGTGACACCAGAACCCAGAGGAGGAGCTCTCATTGTGCTTCCTTTTATCTGGGGATTGGGGTGGCTGGAAAGGCAGGCTCCTCTTGGACAGACTTGCTTTAGAATTCTCCTGAGGACATCCCACCAGGAGACCTGACAGCGTCCAGGATATCCCACATGAGACCAAGCTGGGTTTTGATGCTTGAGAAGTGCACAGGCACAACAGAACAGAGCAGTGCAGCAGTAACACTGTGCACACAACAGGGTTTCTCTCCAGGCAAGTTCACTTCAGTTACTAAAATATCCCAGAATAATTTCTTTAGCTGGCAGAACCCTATTTTAAGAGCAGTCATAGACAAAAACTTTTGTTAATGTTACACCTTGATGCACATAACACTTTAACCAGCAAAAGAAACAACACAAGCAGCCACCAGATGCAACCACAACACCAGAAGCTGCCTACTGCATGCAAAAAGCTCAGTGACACTGTGCAAGCAGGAGGGAGATGCCAGAGCCACCATCACCTCTCCCAGGCTGCCAGCATCCTCCACAGGACTCCCGGGGTGCTGGGGAGCAGCTCCAGGGGGATCAGCACCATCAGCCAGGGGGCTGCTGGGGTTCTCCTGCTCTGCCTCGCTGTTCTCCTGGAGGAGGGGGTGACACAGCCACTTGCAGAAGTGCCCAGGTCACCTTTCCAAGCCGGGAGAGTCACCCACTGTGACACTCTTCCCAGACTCTTCCCAGCTCCAGGCTCCCTGTGAGCTGTATCTCCACACTCCCCCAGCACAGGGGACAGCAAGGCTACACACACAGCAGCCATTCCTCCCCCACACCAGTCAGCCCTGGGCTGGTGTCCCAGGGATGTGTTTCCTGGGAAGCAGCAGCAGCACTGCATCCCTGTGGGAACACACCAGCTGTACTGCTCTGTGTTCATGTGCAGAGGCAGCTCCCTTTCACCCTCCAGCTAGCAAAGAAGTCAGGAATGGTAATTTCCCAACACAAAGGACCCCCTTGATTCCCAGCATTCACCCAGAGACTGATGCCAAGGTGCCAGCACTGCCACAGGGGATCGTTTCTGCTGCCACGGGACTCTCCCCAGGCACCCAGAGGTGCTGCCAGACCTATTTCTCCTCTTGCCCCTTCCAGCATTATCCCCAAGCCCTTTTGTATCTTAGGGAAGAGTCTCTCATGCCTGCAGGGAGGACTCAGGGTGCCAGAAGGCAGGAAAGCAGGTTCAGGTGAGAGCTGACCCCTCAGGGAGCCGAGCACACCAAGCTCTGGGAGAGAACCTCTTTCCAAGGGTACATTCAAAACTACTGCACACACCCCAAGTTCTCCAGCATCTGACCTGGGTTTCATTCTAAGTCTCTTTGCCCCAGTTAACCCACTCCTTGCTCCAGAAATCCCACTGAGGGGGGAGCATTTCTTCCCACCTCTCCTCCCTCTCTTCCCAGACACTCTGATGCTGCCTCCACTCACCCAGCATCCTGTCTCTGCAAGTCACTAAAACCACATATTTCCTTTGAATACAGACACTCAACCCTGACAACAGGCTACACCAAGTCAGTTTTTTCATTAATTCACCCATTGCTGCTTAGACTTCCCCCTGTAGGACTTGCTACACAAACCCTTTGCTGTGTTTTGCAAGGAAGCTGGAGAACAGCTCGGGAACAGTCTGAGCCTCGCTCCCAGGAATGTTTTTCTACTGCCATCTCATGGAACTCCAAAAGAATTCTGTTTTCCAGTGGGGCACTGCTATCTCATCAGGGCTAGGATATCACCCATCTGGGTTAACAGCCTGGCTGTTGGGCAGCAGTTGCCATTCCATAATAGATTCCTGAAGCCCCATCCCCAGGGCACTGACATGCCAAGACAGCTCTTTGTTCCTGCACACATTAACATTTCAGTGAGGAATTGGGCCCCCACAGGCTGCTTGTTGTCTGGAGATGAGAGAGTCAGGGCTCTCTTTGTCACATCCACTTTAGCATAAGCCTTCACAGATCCTGCCCAGCACCTTGAATGGGTTCTCCAGCAAAGTACTTTACAGCTTAATTTTTGTGTGCTGTGAAAAGGATAAGGCAAATACTCTAAAACACTTTAAAAGAAATTAATTTGCCTTTCAGATACTGCAACAGGATTTTCAAAGCGGTGAGAAAGGATTAATGTCAGCACAAACAGTCGGGCCAAATCACCAGAGCTGCTTACAACGCACTTCCCATTGTGCCCTTGTCATCTTAAGCCTGATCCCGGCTGAGGCAGAGCACAGGGAAAGCACAGTGTCTGCACAAGGCCTTGGGTGCACTGAATGCTCAGTGTCTCAGCCACGGGATTTATCCACAGTGCAAGAAGAAAACAGGTTTTGTGTTGCCACAGAAAAGTGGCCACGTGCAGCCCACATTAAGGTCCTTGTGGGACCCAGGGACAGTGCAAGAGCATTCCCAGAGGACATTCCCTTCTCCTTTCCCCAATGCCACCACTGCAAATTCAGCTGAAAATGAGCCTTCTCCCTACACTCGCTGCCAAAAAACACGTGGAAGCAAAGTGTGCCTCCTCCTCATGGAGCCTTCCTCCCACAGCAAGTGCAGTGGCACCTCTGACCCCAGACCCTCTTCCTGCTGTTCCCTGGAAGAGCAGGTTTCCACCTTGCCTGGTTCACCTGCATGGCTTTAGTTTTCTCTCCTTTGGAGTGAAACAAAGTGCAAAGATGTCTCCTCAACTCCCAGCTACCAAACCACAACCATCCTCCTCTGAACACAAAACCTGCCTTCAGCACCCACCCCACTGCCCCCTGTGGGCCACGTCTGGCTTCTCACACCCCCTTCAGCCCTGAGGCTGAGCCTTCCTGTCCCTCAGCCTGCCCCAGGTTGTTCCTAAGTGACACAAGACTCTTGTCCCTCTGGCACCATTCCTGCACCCTCACTCCCTGGGTGCTGGCAGTGCCTCAGCTCCTCTCCCAGCAGGGCAGTTTCACCTGCCCATCCCATCACCCCTGGTCTTACCTCAAAGTCAAAGCTGCCTCCCAGGGCGTCGACATCCAAGTACAGGTTTTTTAACAGTCCTGATGTCCCACGGAAACTCTAAAAGCATTAAAAGAAGGAGATGGCCAAAACTGAGTCCTGCCCTCTGCGATCCCAGGGGAAGAACTGAGGCTTCCCTCAGCAGTGAAATAAGGCAGCAGAGCCATGGCAATACACCTACAGCCAGCTCATTCTGGAATTGCACCTCGGCAGGTGTTGATTTGGGGGGACTACAATGTGAAAACAGGGTTTAGATGCTTTTTGGCCACCAAACAGCACAGGGAAAATGCAGCACAAATTAAAGCCGAGAGGCAAATGGAACAGCCACAGTCAAGCAGTAATTACCAGGGGAGCATCATGAGACTTCATGCACTCTGGTTACTGACACACACACTGAGAGCCAAGGCACACAAACTACCTCATTTTCACTGTCGTCCTCCTCATTTCTCCATTTCTCCAGAGCCGTCGTGTCCAAGGAGATCTTCTCGTCGTCGCAGAGCAAGCCCAGCAGGTTCCTGGTGTGCCTGGTGGGCTTACAGATCCCTGCAAGCTGTGCAGGCCAAGAGAAAGGGAAGTGAGGGGACAGACGACAGGAAAGGGAAGATGGAAACCCACTGAGACCCTGGGCAGCTGCTGGATTCTGGGAAGGAGCTCAGGACTTCACTGCCACCCTTGTGCTGCCAGAGCCACGTCCAGCGGGGAGAGATGTTCTTAATGAGGCCAAAGAGGCTCCTGTCCTAGAGGGGCACATCTGAAACCCGCCTGTGCCTCCAAACACTGACTCAGGCAAGACCATAATAAAATATTTGATATCACCACAGTGACAAGACTTAACTCGGCGAGAGAACCTTCAGTGAAGGTGTTGATTTGTATGTTTTGCACATATATTGCTTCACTCACCATTAAAAGATCAATTTCCCACCACTTAACAGGTTTGTTTATTTGTGAAGGTGATTATTCATGTGTTTCCCACATACTTTACTTTGCTTTCCTTTAAAAGATCAATTTTTTACCATTTAACAGGTTTGTTTATTTGTAAAGGTGGTTATTTGTGTTTTGCACATATTTTGCTTTGCTTTCCTTTAAAAGATCGATTCTTTACCACTTAACAGGTTTGTTTTATTGACCCAAAGGTCATTTTCTATAAATAATAATTCGACATGATTGTAAGTCTTACATTTATCAGGAAAACTGTTCTTTTAAATTTTTTATTCTCACATAGATGAGTGAAAGTATTGTTTATTAGACTGTATTATCTGTATTGTTCGTCATGCTTCACTTGCCCACCAAAGTTCTGCTAAAACAAACTGAATAGATTTTGTTTCCCCCACAGTAACTGAAACAATTCCTTCTTTAAATCTGCTAAACATAGCAGAAGAAAGCTCAGCACTAATTTAGCACTGGGCTCCCTAGAAATAGAAGAAGAAAAGAAATACCATTGTCTGCTAAAAAGCTGCCTTTCAAAGCCCACAGAAGATCACAAATACTGTCATTTAAGCTTCTAAGTGTCCCCATGGCTGTGAGCCTTTGCAGTGTGCCTTGCAGGGAAGAGGGAGCCTCACCTGTGTGCCTTCCTTGGTGGTCAGGTCGGAGTCCCCCACGCTGCCCACGCTCGGTGACCCACGGAGGACAACGGGCTGAGACGGAGCGAGGCCACGGAGAGGAGAGAGGGTCCCCAGGGGCAGCTGGATGGGGGCCAGGTGGGGGCCCACGGGCTGGAATACGGAGAGGGGACTCGCTGACAGGGCAGCAAAGGTGTGCAGCTCCCTTTGGAAAGGGAGGAGCTGTTCCCCTGTGCAAACACGGGCTGCTGAACCAAGCCCAGCTGAAAACCTGCTTGGGGCCCCCACGGCCACCAGCACACGGGACAGGTAAGGAAACACACTTTGATTTACTCGTATATTTTGCCTTCCAAAGACCCATCTGAATGGGACCAGAATGCTCCTTTCTTTCAGAGGGCAGCAGGAGCCCTGGGAGCCATCCCACATCCTCACCTCTGAGCAATGCCTGCTCACACCCCAAGTTATCATCACCCAGAAATGTGACCATCCTGTTGGACAGCACGGAATTCCCCATCCCAGGAGTCTCACCCAGCACAGGTTAAACCAGAAGCACATGGATGCCAGGGTTTTACTTGTGGCAGTCCAGGGTTTTCCCTGTGGCACAGGACTACAACCAAGGGCTGGTGCTTCAGCAGAGCACGTGTGTTCTCAGAAACCACAGTCCCTGTGCCTACACAAGATTCCAGACTGAAATCAGAGTTAATTCACTGATGGATGGGGACAGGGGGATGTCATCACCAAGTCATCACCACAGCAATGGTAACAGAATAAATCACATTCTGGGCTTAAACTAATTATTTTCTACAGATGGCCGTTAACCACACGCACAGAACAGAGAATGTTCACTGTCCTTCAGCAGAGACAAATGTGCTTCCATCAGGCTAATTAAAACTTTTGGGGTAATCTACAGTTTATCTGTTATTTCTAGTTCTTATCAGCTACCTGAGAACTACCACACTGGTAATGAGAAACCTGAACTGGCAACTCAGTGGAGCCACAGCTGGGCACCAGCAGAGCACAGCAATCCATTCTTGTTACACACAGTGACCTTTCAGTTCACTTTTGTCTTCAGAACAAGGGATTCGGTAAGTTCTTATTAAATTGAGGCCATTACTTATGGACAAAGACAAAACAACCTGGAATGTCCTCCCCAGGTAAAGGCAGGATCTGTGATAGGCAACGGAGGGAAAAGTTTGGGCAAAACTGAGCAAAATGGTTCAGCTATTCCCAGAGGAAGGAGAAAGTTACAATTATGGATGGGTTCCATCACACCCGTAAGTCACTTCAGTGTCCTAAGACACAGGTGCAGCCACCCAACTGTGCTCAGACCTGCAAAGCCATGGGCCAGTAATCACTGGGAAAGCTCCTCCTCCCCTGTGGAAAAGGCAGTTCAAACTTTCTCCCATTTTTCTTCCATTTAAGAGGGAATAGACTCCATTTCTCAAGGTGCTGGCCACGGATGAAGGAGAGCTGACTGCAACCTGTGGTTTCTTATATCACCTTAAGCAACTCACCCTGGGACTCGAGATTCAGCAATCAAAACCAAGCTGCAAATAGCTGAATAAGCCACTTCCCCTCAATTTAGGCTGCGGGACCTCCAGGGAAAAGACCAACTTCACAGTGTGCTTACTACAAAGAGCCTTACAGCCCAAATTAAAGGTGATTTTGTATTCAGTGCTGCCAACTCACTTGATTTACTGCCCATCACCTGGGTTTGAGTTCAGAAAGCCCCTTGTGTCCCCTCTGCCCAGCCCTCCCCAGAAGCACCACAAGCAGAGTCTACTCACAGGGGATTGCTTCAGCGACTGCTTCTCCTTCTTGTCCTTCTTCTCCTTCTTCTCTTTCTTTTCTTTCTTCTGCTTCTTCTCTTTCTTCTCCTTCCTCAGGCCGCCCTGTGCCAGCAGCTTGTCCCGCTCCCGGATCACCAGCTGCCTGTACTGCTCGTCACAGGGGTGCTCCCACATGGACTGGCCCGTTGCAAAGTTGAAGTAATACACATCACCAGTGGTGTCTTGGCTGAGCGGCAAAAACCAGCGTGAAAAGATGGAAGAGCACATAAAAACACAGCTGCACAGGCCAGAACATCCTTGCTGGGTGGCCCGACCACCTGGAGCTCAGGGAAGAGGAGCACGAAGCCTCCAAGAGGCCAAAAATACATCAGTGTGGGGAAGCAGCCCCTCCTGGGATGCTCGTGACCTTATCAAGCTTCCCCAACAGTTTTTCCCCCCCTTCTTCTGCCACCCAAAAAAGCCCTGAGCTCCCTCATCCACAGGAAGTAAAATGCTGTGGTAAAATATCCCTCCTCCTCACCACCAGAATGCCAGGGCAGCACACAGAGTGGGGAAGGACAGGAAGGACCAGGAATCATAGACTGGTTTGGGTTGGAAAGGACCTTAAACATCCTTCCTCCTGCCATGGGCAGGGACACCTTCCACTACACCAGGTTGCTCAGAACTCCATCAAACCTGGCCTTGGACACTTCCAGGGATGGGTGTCAGCCATCAGCTTCTCTGGGCAACCTGTGCCAGGGCCTCCCCACCCTCACAGGGAAGGATTTTTCCCTGATATCCAACCTAAAGCTCCTCTCTGTCAGTTTGAAGCCATTCCCCCTTGTCCTGTGACTGGGAACCAGCCAGGACAGCTGCAGCCAGAGTCTCACCAGGGCTTCCAGTCAGGGGGTAACGGGGCCACCAGGCACTCCCTGGCCAGCCACAGCAGCTCTGACTCCTTCTCAGGGTCAATCCCGATTATTGGTGCAAAGTTCCGGATTTCTAGGAAAACACGAGAGGAATCTGTGAAGACAGTCTACACCAGCCACTACACAGCAGAGCCACCCTCCCAGCTATAGCAGGGAGCACACTGGGAAATCCAAACCAAAGCTGCTCAAAGCCACCAGCACGGTCCTGTGTGTCCACAGCAAACAAAGAGCTCATTTTTCAGCCCCGTCTTCTGCGAAATTCCACGTATTTTACCCTCTCCACCCACACTCTCCCCAGTTCCCGCTTTCTGAATACACCTAGAAGTGACCTGCGTGCCTGAATCCCTTCTCCCAGCTCCCAGGAGGACAGGCAGCACTCACCTTGCTCATCAGGAACGTAGGAATCATTGTAATCTTCCTCCAGAATGAGCTGGTTCCCGATGCGCACAGCCCCTGCCATGAGTCCCCTCTCCATGGCTCCCACACCTGGGGGCGGGAAGGAAGCAACACCAAGTCACAACTGCCCTCAGAAATGAAGGTTCCCTGTCCCCCAGCACATGGCAGAGCCCTTCCACCTGCAGCACACGCAGCAAAACCAAATCAAAGAGCTTCCACACACACTTCCAGGGGCTGCGGAAACAAGGAGCAGAGATGAAGCAGCACAAAGTTATAATCAGATCCCCCAGGCCTCCAAGTTTCTACAGAGGAGATGAACATTTGCTTCAGGCACTTTTTAACCAGGCAAAAAAAAAAAAAAGCTGAAAGGAGAAAGGGAAGGAAGAGAAAGCAAGCAGCTTTCCCAGAGCTCAGCTTTGAGAGAAGTCCCAGGGCTGGATCAGCACTGCCCAGGGACAAGGCAGCTTCTGCCTACTTACCTTCGCCTCTCCCACCTTCTCAGAGGACACTTCAGAAGCTGTAAAAGGGTTCTAATTTAACATGTCCCACCTGTAGCCCATTGTTTCGTTATTTCACTCTCAGACCACAGCTGGGCCCTTGCAACCCATCCAGCACAGGTTTAGGCAGTTGGAATTAAATTGCCTCACCCCAAACATCCCCAGCTGTGGCTCTGCATGGCCCCCCTTGGCCAGCACAAGCCTCCCACCACTGTGTGTGGGGCCAGGTGCCAGTCCCAGCACAAGCACAGAGGGGACTGACCTGCTGCTCAAACACATGGTCAAACCTTTCAGCCTAAAAACCCCCAAATTCTCAATGCACTAATCATTCCTCTGCTGTACCCATGAGACCCAGGGGGTTGCAGTACCTGCCAGGGGTCTGGGCAGCATTAACACCCCAGTGATGACTGCCCACAGCAGCATCACCACCCACTGCCTGTAACCAGCCGGCGCTGCCCTCTTCACCTCCCTCTGTCCTCAGCCCACTCCGTATTTATAACTCTTATGTAAAACAAGTCTCAGAAGCAGCAACTAATCCTGGCAGTTTCCAGGCAAAGATACCCTCGGGACACGCCAAAGCAAAACAGCATCACAGGGCTCACACCACCACCCCCCAAACGTCCCCAGTCAGAGCGTTTGGATGTGAGCAACTCACTCAGGGCCTTCTGTTCGCGTTTCCCTGTCCCAGCTCTAACTCAGCCCCATTTTCCATCCCTGGAATTAGCGCTGGATGGCTCACTCTTCTCTTGGAGCGCTGCCTCGGTGCACCCGGGGAGAACTTTCAATGCTTGAGGGGCACCTATAATAGATGGGGACAAGGGGGAACGGTTTTAAACCAAAAGAGGGGGGATTTAAATGAGATATTAGGAGGAATTCTCCCCTGTGAGACTAGTGAAGCCCTGGCACAGGTTGCCCAGAGAAGCTGTGGCTGCCCCATCCCTGGAAGTGTACAAGGCCAGGTTGGACGGGGCTTGGAGTAACCTGGAATAGCGGAAAGTGCCCGTAACCACGGCAAGGGGGTGAAACTGGATGAGCTGATCCCTTCCAAGCCACAAAACCGTTCCCTGGTTCTATGCAAAGCGAAATTCAAAGTTAGTGCAGCCCGCGCAGCCTGGAGCCACGGGAGACGCGCGGCTGGCGAAGAGGAGAAACAGCTTTGACTAATAAAGCATAAAACAAAAGCAAAGAGAAAGCCCTTTTCGCCCAAGCCACGACAGCGCACACGCGACAGCCGGGAGCCGGCAGACCCCACGTGCGGCGGGAGGCTCGGAGCGCTCCCCGCAGCCTCCCTTCCCCGAGGGGAGCCTCCCCTGGGGCCGGGACCCCCCGGGCCCGGTCCCCCCGTCCCCGCTCACCGTGGCCCCGGCCCCGGACCCGCTCCGGGGCTGCCGCCGTTGCCGGGAGCGCGGGAGCAGCCGCGGCCGCTACATCGGACCCCGCCCCCCACGCGCGATTGGCCGGCGGGGAGATGCTCGGCACCGGATTGGCCGGCGGGGAGGCGGGACGCATGACGTCACCCAGGCTGGGCCGCCGGAGGGGAGCCGCGGTTGCCATGGCGACGCGTGGGTACCGCCCGCGGAGCATCCCGGCGGGACCGGGACCGGGACCGGGACAGGGGAGCGGGACGGGCACGGGGAGAGGGGCCGGGAGAGGCACGGCGGCAGCGGGGAGGGCCGGGGCGGGTCTCCCCGGCAGCGCTTCCG